CTGTTTCTGACAATTTTAGATATTACTTCATATCTATTCAATCATACAACATCTGGGGTTTATTTTTATACACACTACAGTGTAAAGACACACAAAAGCTTTCCACATTTCCCTTAAATAATTGCTGGGAAATCTCTTCACTCACATGCACCCCCTGCTGGGATGCCTGTGTTGGTACACACAGTGTAGGAAAACACTGTTAAGGGGCTGTACTCACGTGGCAGAGCAGCACTTTGGCTCTGGGATCAGCTACCAGGGAAACCACCCTGTCCCTGGCTTTTCTCAGAATTGAGCCTGCCTTTTTGCAGGTCAGGATTCTCTAAAAAGGGAGAGGTTAAAAAAGTCTAAACCACATCTATACAGTCACAAATACAAACAACACAGCAATTGGGCAGGTTTCACGGGGACCAGGGAGGTGAGGCCTTTAAAACGCACCTCCTCAGGATCCTCGTCCGGTCCTACATCTCTCTCCTCAGCTTCACTTAGTAGCCCTTTCACCTTTTTCTCCTTTGGTTCCCCGTGCTCCAGCCCCTGAGAAATCGAAGGACCTGTTGCATCATTCCATGGCCCACTTTGACAGTATCAAATCAGACTCACCACAGTCCAAATTTGAATGTGTTACCCAGAACTTTAATATCATTACCTGAATACCATAACCTGAATTTCAATTAAAGAACGCAACTTTGAATGTTTACCTGAACTTATGTTACTTGTGTTATAATAAAAATTCAAGTTCAGGTTGTAAAATTCACGTCTTTTAAATTTGGGTTGAAAGATTCAGGTCAAGAAAATTCAGATTGAGGAAATCAGGTTGAGAAAAACAGTGAAAACATCCGGGATACTCAAAAAAGAGCAAACGAGTATAGATCTAATCAAGCACAATCCTGGATAAGACAGGTCATTTGGGAGGGGATTTGTTCATCCACCACTTTAATATGGTTAATACACATCCACTGCTGCTGTGTGAGCACACATCTTTACTTAGGTGGCCTACAGAAACAAACAGTGATGCTTGACGTGTCTGGTTAACAGCAGTGACTGTGCTTTAAGACCCACCAACACCTTAAAGGGGCAGTTCACGACAAAATAAATATATATATATTCTTTAGAAATGGTATTTATCCATGTAGATTGTTGTGGTGAGAGTTTCCTAGTTTTGAAGATATCGAACGTGGAAATGTCAGGCTTCTTGCGAATATAATGGGACTGAATGGCATTCTTTCTGGAGAGAATGAAAAGCCAAAAAAATACATTTGAAAAATTCAACAGCAAGGTGAGCTAACAATATTGTGCTATTATTACTATTCACTAAGACAGCATTGTTGCAATTAGTTAATGTTGGTAGCTGATGCCATCCAATACCACTAGCTCACCTAGCAGCACTGAGCTAGCCAACATGAGAGCTCAGTCAATGAGGATGCCATTGATGTTTACACCGACTCACCCTGTCAGAAGCAAGTACACCTGGGCACTATCTTCTGAAAGCTGATATGGATGGTGTTTGGATTTCAGTAGAAAGAAAATAAGTCCTACATGAAACTGCTCAGTATTATCTTGAGTAACTAGGTCATGATTTCTAGCAACATTGCTGCTGAATTTTTCAAATGTATTTTTTTGCCGCTTCGTTCTGCCCAGAAAGAATGACATTCAGTCCTATTATACTTGCAAGAAGCCTGACATTTCTACTTCTGATATCTCCAAAACTAGACAACTCTCACCACAACTATCTAGATCAGGGGTGTCTAACTCCAGTCCTGGAGGGACGGAGCCCTACGTATTTTTGGGTTTCCCCTCATTTAACACGCCTGATTCAACTCCGTGTACCTCCTTGTGCTAATTACCACACAGCTCTTGAGCTGAATCTTTTGTGGTGGAACATGGAAAGAACTAAGCTACACAGGACTCCGGCCCCTCAGGACTGGAGTTTGACACCCCTGATCTAGATGGATCAACAACACTACAGCTCATCCGAAAAATGTTATTTTCTGATTTTAGGATGAACTGCCCCTTTAAGCTAGTGAACCTCAAAATCACATTATTACATTTTTAGGATTCAGGCAAACAACCTAATTCAAGAGTAGTGCCTCAGGTTCAATGACGTAGCATAAGGGGCTCTACAGAGAGAGTGGCTCTTACCGGCTCCAGGTATCTGATGTCCCAGGCCCTCAGCTCGCTGTCAGCACAGCCCGTGAGCAGCCGCTTCTCCCCATTTAGCAGAACCAGCCCCCACACCTGGGAGACAAATGGACAAACTGGTGACCCAACTAAATCTTACCTCTAGTAGTGGCTGTTCAGTCTGGAACTCCACATACAAACTACAATTCAGACTTGCATTATTCATGAACATCTCCGTTTCCATTTCCGATCAGTAGTGCTGCATTTGCCTCAAAAAGCTCTCAGTAAGAGGAGAGTAGAACTCACCTCACTGCGGTGACCAACCATGGTCCTGAAGCAGTGCTGTGTATCCAGGTCCCACCATTTCACAAATGTGTCCTTTGAACTGGAAAACATTGCATTGGCTGTATTTGAAAAGGATGTCTTTATTTGGGAGCTTTCTGATAAATTTTCCCCGTCAATCTTATCTGAAACTGCATATCCAGTCATAAAAAATTCTTGTAAGCAAAATACAAACTTACAAAAATCATATTGCATTGTTTTTATTTTTTAGCTTGGCCTACACACGTTTACACAACTAAATATGTACTGAAGCAATTCAGGTGGAGTCACCTGAAAAGTTGTCAGTTTAAAGTCCCTGCCTTTAAACAACATGCTGCCTGCAGCCCAAGTTAAACAGTCGAGCAGGATGTCCCATCTGCGGCTCACGCTCTCAGGCACAATAGCAGCACACTACCTGGTGACCAGCAGATTCTTGTCCTTCAGGAACAGCACCTGAGTGATGGCGTCCTTGTGGCCTTTCAGCCGATACAGGCCACACTCGTTAATCACATCCCACACAATCACGTCTGTGTCCTAGGCAGAGGAGTAGGACCCAAGTTTACCTTATAATGCAAGGATTTAAAGACTGGCACTTTCCACCAAATCATTAAAAACTGGAAAGTATGCCGGGCAGAGGAGTAAGGAAAAAACACTGCCAGAAGGCAATACCACTGATGTAAATACTCCAAACCAAAAGGATCATCAAGATCAAAAAACATAACAGTATTTGTCTCATCTCACCCTTGACCCAGTCACCAGCCTGGCCCCAAGACCATCGTAATTTATGGCTGTCACTGCAGACTTGTGGCCGCTAAAGGAGACATTACTCTTGCCACTCAGGAGGCTGAATATGCGGACAGTGCCATCTTCGTAGCCCACGGCAAGGTGTCCACCATCAGGGGACGGGCACAAATTTGTCACTTCATATTTGTTCCCCTGGAGAATCAGGACCTGAGATTTGAGAGAGCTGGGTGAGCAAAACCACTGGTACAGGGTTTCCTTGGTGCTTTGAATCATTCTGCAACAGGAAATGCATGGATAAAAGCTGCAAAATCAAAATATGACAAAATGTTTGCAATATTCTACTTCTGAGTCATGTACTTTGCCCTAATTGCCTCAGTAAAAATACCTGAATTTAGGTCAGGTTTTGGCTTTACATTTTGTATGTTGTGTGAGTGCTTAACGTAGTCCTCACTTTTTCTGCTTTCCGCACATCCCATATGAAAACATGCTCGCAGGCGGCCACGGCGACGTAGCGTCCTTTCTCCCCTCCTCTCATGGTGACATACGCAATGTTGGCCTTCTGGCTTCCAATCACGCCGAACACGGCGCTGGCTGCGTAGCGCAGGTACTGTTTGGTTAAACCCATGGCAGCCAGCCAGGAGTTTGCGCTGTCGTTTATGGAGCAAAGAATAATGGTTTCCTTATTATTTTAATTATTACATGCAAATTCAAACCATAAACAATACCAACCGAATCACAAAATGTTTTCAACACACGGGCTATATGCATAGCGATTACATAGCATTAGTTAAACTAATTCTAATTATTATCCATATTAACGGTCCTACTGACGATACTTTCGTTTTACTGGCATAACAAAGTATAATTAAGCTGTAAGTCAGAGTTCCCCAATTACGGCCCAGGAGGTCCAGAATCCAACAGTTACCCTGTTCATATACACAGCCGGGGAACTCTGCTGGAAACGAAATCCATCCCGCTAAAGTTTTGGTTTAATAGCGCTATCGCTATATGTTGCAATACTTTCATATAAGACCTTTATTTGTATAAAACACCGCGGCACGATATCATGATAATTTCGTAAATGGCGAAACTTTAAGCGTGTCTTTCACACTACATGCATCGCTATATTACTAGCTGAACAAGTCCATGTGGCGTCTGACTAGGCAGCTTTCTTTGACACGAGTTACCTTCCCAAGCAATTAGTTATGGTATCTACGCTAAAACACATATAAATATGACAGACGTATGGTCGGCAACAGCTGTTAAATTTGAAATTATAATAACATTACAAAATGCTTATAATACAGTTCTATAAACGTACCGGTAAGATACTGCGATCAGGCAGCGTGAGCTCAGGAGAGGAAACAACCGCTGAACTAATCACTTTCCGAAAGATCGATCTGCGGAACATGTGAATCATTGTATCTTCATTACTTAAATACAAAAATTCTATGTTATATGTGAGAGTCAGTAATATTAGTCTTTAATATACTCTCTACACCAAACACATTGAGTAGAAAAAAAGATTTCATTAAAATTTCAAGCGTTCACTGTTATCAGCTACTTTTGTCTGAAACTACAGTTTTTAAAGGACAGTCTGTAAGTATACATCATATACAAAAGCGTACAATGTTTAAGATAGAGATATTTTTTAGATTATTGAAAGATAAATATTATTTTAGTTATTTACATTTTCTACAGTATCATAATAATGTGGTATTCCATAATCGTTTTAATATACCTACAAATACATATGACTCTCGTCCGACATCTGTAAGAACTACAACGACAATCCCTAATATTTCTCCTTCCGGAAGTGATGGTTTTGTTGCGAATCAGCTGACATGCAACCGTAGTAAATGTTAACATAATGTGATGAAATCGGTTCAGCAAAATCGTGTCTTATGGTGGTGGGCTGAAAAAAGGGAAACAGTATAGCAAGTTGAAAAGCCGCCATGAAGAAAAACAAATGACTATTTCGACAGCACAACCAAGCCGTCAAGGGATTTTAAATGGTATTTTATTCACTTGTCGGATTATCGATCTTTACACATATTTGAGGAGGAAATGTTGGGATGTTTGACAGGACTGCGAGAGCCCACTATTTGTTGAACGTGATTTTGATTCGATTTTACATTGTCAGGCTCTTCGTATTAAATGAAGATAAACTAACCAGTAACCATGCAACGGTTATCTGGTATTGCTATCATCCGACGAGCGATTAGTGTTGATTTGTCTAGTTCGCAAAGAAACATTCGGTTTATATCGGAGGTTTTGTCTTTGATGGAGCTCGTGGTGCTGTGAGTTAACCTTAAAGATGTGCAGCCAATATGCTTACAGTCTCATGATGTTTCTGTTACCTGGTTTTCTAGCAGACACACTGTCGTGATATGTCTGCTTTTTCAGTTATAAGCAGTAGGAATAGTATAGATCAAGATGACAGACTAAAGTACTAAAGACTGTTAAGATTTATTTCAAACTTAAAATTGTGTTTCACTGCTGCAGACTAAATCTGGAGTGGATCAATTTGTCTTTCGTGATGTTTTGCAATTATATGTACACAATATTACAGCCCCCATTAAATTCGCTGTTGTCCTATTTCGTAGTATTTGATTCAAAGATCAAAAGTTGTCTCTTTGTGTACAATGGCCACTTCGCACACGAACAGACTCAGGGACTTATTGTGCACCACGAGGCTCGTATTTAAGGTGTCTTTCCTCTTGAACATAAAGTGCACGGAAATTGAACTTGACTGTTTCGTCACGCCGTGTCACAAGACTAGCTTTCATCGCTCTCGGGAAAAGCAGCGCGACGTCGTGTTTAGGCGTAGCATTGAATCATCCGTGTGTACTTTTTATGCCTCGTTGCCATTATAAACAAACTAGTTAACCTGATGGAGATTAAGTGTGCTTCTGTGACGGCAGGTTGAGGGTAACTGAGGAAACTGGGCACTCGATCTGACACCGAGGCTGAAGGCTCAGGTCACGAGAGGCGCCCTGTTCTTGTACCCTTGAGCAAGGTATTGCAAAGTGCATTTTCCCAGTAAAAAAAATAAAAACACAGCATTATGAAACATAGTAAGAATTACTTCTGAATAATGTATATATATGAGCTGGAGGATTTACAATTAACATTTGAATTGCTGAGATTTTGGTGATTTTTGTGCTTTTCACCCCTATGTGTTCTGAAGTATTTTGTGTGGCACATTCCTCTTTGTACATGGGATGTGAGACACTCTGCAGATTGCATGCTCAATGTGTCTCCCATAGCATTCAACGAGCCTTGGGAGGATTTCATGAAGTGATCGTGGTCAGAACATTCAGTTCTCATTTGACTCTGTGCGATGGATCCCTTGGGTGCCCGCTCACAGTTCGTGGATGTCCAGACGCTGCACCGGTGGGACCAATCACAGGATCAGGATGGGGCTGAGGTGGATGGGCCACCTAGTGGCAAAACACGCACCCACAAAGGCAGCTTCGCCAACTGGCAAGGGGTCTTTTCATCACCCTTTCCTTTTCGTGAAGACATCAACAGGAAGATCATTCTGTTGTGAGTCTCCTCTGCTGCTTCCTTGCTTCTCCTGGAGAATTTTTACTCATTATTTTTTTTCCTGGGTTGCTTAGTTTCCACACAGTTCTTTCTTACACACATATGCATGCACACACTGGCATAAATCCTCTTTGCCTGGCTTTGTTGTGTACACTGAAGTGAGATGGTATTAGGACTTATAGCCTAGATAGTATCATGCATTATTTGTATGCAACACTTTCAGTCACAACTTTCAGATTAGGTGGAATGCTGAGCTTTGTCCAACAGTATAACTGGTGCAAATTTGTAGGAAAGAAATCCAGTATTAAGTGTTACATGGTTTCATACTGTAGCGGTTATAATGAAACACATTTCGTGCACCACCACCATGTTCAAATTAGAACTGTTATCAAAATAAAAAGTTACCGCCTGTTTTTGGTTGCAGATTTTTTTTCCATCACTTCTCTGTGCAGTATTCTTTCCAAAAGACACTGTTGACTTGTCCTTATCACAGGCAATAACATGCCCTCAAGCTATTGCATGCCACTATCAGATTGCCTTGTAACTGCAACTCACGTTAATGCTGTGGTCTTAGCATCCTACACTTTTGGTTGGCATTGTCCATTATAAATAGTGAACTTGAGTCTGACTGTCTGCATTTAACTTCTTTATATATCCTTTGCTTATCCAGCATGAGATTGAGGTGAACCTGGAGTATATACCAGGGAGCACAGGCCATCAGCCAGTGTATATGCTGGACACAATGCCAATCTGTCGCTGGGCACACTTGATTACATACCACAGGAAACTTGGAAATGGACACAAACTGTGAGTTTGTGGGACTGTAGGAGAAAACCTGAAAACAGAAAGAAACTCCACAGACATGGGGAGAAGATGCGCACTCTATGCTCACAGCATCGTGAGGCCACAGTGATACACTGCGTGTAAAGATTTTCAGCTTACCGTATGCTGCTACAGCAGATAAGCCCTCACTGCAGGCTGTTCTGTTTCTGGTTTCCAGTTTCCACTTTTTCACCTCTGTTCCCCTTTCATCAGCTGTACTCGGTCCAGGAGGGTTGCCTGGCTGTATTTCAGGAGCTGCTCGTGGTTTTAATTTCTTGCACTCTGTCTTCTTCCCAGCAATGGCGATATGGCCCTGATGAACTGCACAGCCATCGTCAACACGAGTAACGAGACTTTGTCGGACAAGAACCCCGTGTCGGACAGCATCCACAGGCATGCAGGGCCAGAGCTGAGGGAGGAGCTGCTTAAGCTGAAGGGTCAGCAGCTTATTCTCAAGTTGTAACCCCATCATCCACATTCACATGCTTGTCTTTCAACATTGTTTGCTACTTGGTGTGGGTATCCTGGATGGTAGAACAGTTTGGGACTGTTTGTCTTGTGTGCTATGTTTGTGTTTGATGTAACATAGGGGAGCACATGTCTTATTTGGAGAATGTTGTTTTTTATCATTCCTTTCCTGTTATTGGTTGGAATAACACTAAGGAAATGTTTCTCACACCCACCACTAACTACTCTGCCTCAGGTTGCCGCACTGGTGAGGCCAAGATGACAAAAGGCTTCAACTTAGCAGCGAGATTTATCATCCACACCGTGGGGCCAAAGTATAAAGCCAAGTACAGGACAGCAGCTGAGAGCTCCCTGTATGGCTGTTACAGGAACGTCCTGCAGCTCACCAAGTAAGTCACATGGCACATACAAAACCAGGTACAGGGCAGTGGCTGAGAGCTCCCTGTACGGCTGTTACAGGAACGTCCTGCAGTATGTATAAGCAAATTATGGTTCAACATTTTTGTGTAGATTAGCAGATTCCTATTTTGCATTATTGCAGCAGACAAGCCAAATTGTAACTTCAAGACGGAGTCTCTTATTCACCATATGTACAATTTGGGAGACATCAGCGTATTGAAATTGTTGTTTTGAAGAGCAAGTGAACTATGATATGCAGAATATAAATGAGGAATGAAAATGTATTTCTGTTTTTTTTTTTTTTTCTTTTTTGTGACCAATGCCCAGGTGAAGTTAGTCCTCATGTATCCTACTGATTCCTGTGAACAGGATTTTAACATATGGTCTTTTGATATATCTAGAAATGAAAATCTTTAAATGAATCAGTAATTAAAATAATTTAACACTGGCTGTTTGAAGAATGAATAGGCTGAATCTTTTGCCATTATAAACTCGGGATATTACATGTCATCTTAAACACTCTGTTCAAAAACACGAGATGGAACTGAATGGAGTAATAAGAATTATAACAGACTGCGCTCTTTCTGTTTCCAAGGGAGCAGTGCATGGAATCGGTGGCCCTGTGTATCATTAGCACGGCGAAGAGGGCATACCCGCTGGAGGATGCCACGCACATCGCCCTCAGTGAGTGCCTGCTCACCGGCCCCTCAGGCAGCGCTTAGGACACCTCAGCCCTTCGTCTGGGCAAACTGCTCAAAGTCTTAGCTGCATTTCGGATATGCACCCACCACCTTACTAAGCCACTTGCTAAGTTTACTAGTTAGCTACTATCTAGAACAAGGCATCTCAAAGTCCGCATGCAAACAGAACTGCAAGTTAATCCAGACCCAGCCCATGTACTTCATGAATCAATGTGGTTAACATTAAAAAGACTTAACATGCGTTGAAGTACAATAATACAATGTAGACCCACCACTCCCCCCCCCCAATGAAGGACAGTCAAAACAATCAGCAAGCATTATAAATTTCTAAACAATTGCCATTTTTGTTATATATTGTTATATATTGATGTCTATATTGAAGCCTATTGTTAATTCATTAAAGTTCATGACATGCTGTTTCGTTATTGAAAGATGCAGACCTTTTGATCAAGAACTTTGAGAACACCTGATCTAGGCTAACTATGCATTATAAACAGACTGTTGAGGAAGAAAGACAATCTGAAATACTGAAATAAATATGAAATAGAATATAACTTATTGTAGTAATTTATGATCCGAGCTTTTCCTAGTAAGTGCACAAGAACAGGAACTTGGAAATATGCCAAGACTAGTTAAACCATAAAATTAATGACATAAACTGCAAACGAAACAATGTGCCACATAATGTGTCCTTGTGCTAACTACTACGGCAGCCCTAGCCCCTGACTTTTATCCTTCTCTTGCTCCATAAACTTTTTGTTTTGATGTTTTGGAGGCACTTCTGACTAAAGTTCAGGGCAGCAGTAGAGATTGTATGTAGATTTTGGATTTTAAATGAAGTTTGATTCAGTAATTGATAAATAATTGAGTTATAATTGATTTTGTGATGATCTGATATAGCCACCCTGTTCTCCATGCTACAGGGACAGTCCGTAGGTTTCTGGAGAACCATGGAGAATACCTGGAGACGGTGGTGTTTGTGGTGACGCCAGTCGAGGAGGTAAGGTTGTCAGTGACCCTCACTTCCATTACGCCTCCACTATATTCTTGTTTACCTTTTTTCCCTTGTTGCCATGTCAACCCCACAAGGCTGGCTCTCTGTGTGCCCCTCATAGCCAGTGTACAGGAAGCTGCTGCCACTTTACTTCCCGCGCTCAGAAGCAGAGGAACAGTCCAGCCTGCCCCTCATCCCAGCAGACATTGGGAATGCAGAGGGAGAACCTGTGGTTCCGGAGAGGAGGATCCGCATCTCCGAGAAGCCAGGCAGCTTGGAAGGTGAGTTTGGCCAGATGACTCTGCTCACCCCAGAGTTGCATTGCTGTTGTTCTGTTGTTCCCAAGGACATCTTCCCTCTTATCAGTCTTTTGCTGACACTCATTATACTTAAGTGTCACTGTGGTCCATCACTTCAGCAGAAGACCATGTTTAGTAGCCAGAGTATCTTTCCTGAGATTCAGATCCTGACGAGTGGTTCTTTCCCAGTCTCAGCTTCTGTAGTCAGATGATTTCCTGCCAGGAGGGAGCCTTCAGTATCTCCCACCTGTGCTGCTTTCTTTCAGGAGTTACCGGTCCTGTTTCTACAGTTGCAACCTAAGAGTATTTAATTGACTAAACCAGACTGCCTTACAAAGACTTGCATAAGCTACATAATGGAAAATGTAAATGGTTTGGTGTGTGTAATCAGAGACTAGCTCTTTCATGTTGCTGTGAGCTGCCACAATTGGACTCTGTGGTTTCTCTTACCCCTCCAGATGACTCTGAGTCCTTGGACCCCATGTTGGGGTCGGTGGGCAGCCACTCCTTTGCCCGCATGGAGGGTGACGTTGACAAACACCGGCGCCTCATCCTGCAGGGACACATGTCTGAGGCTGCACTCCAGAAGCAGCATCAGAGGAAGTAAGAGCCACCCTTTGACTCCTGACCCTTGAACTCTGTGTATGTTTAATGGCCGTCTTCCTGTTTCTGCAGTTATAATCGCTGGCTGGGCAGGGCCCGAGCTGAGGACCTGTCTGACATTGCTGCACTCAAAGCGCTGTACCAGACTGGTGCGTACCCCCCAATTCTCAGGCTATGAGATGCAGGAGGGATTCCTACCCCCCCCTCCCAATCTGACAGTGAGATGCAGGAGGGATTCCTACTCCCCCCCTCCCACTCTCAGACAGTGAGACCTGTAGGGGTCACACTTGCCCACTGAATCTGTAAACATGTTTTCTTCACTCTTATGTGCTGAGATGCTGTTTGTGATCTTTAAGTAGGCTACAAGCTGTCAGAACATTGCATGCTTACTGCCTGGGGTTTCAAAACATTAATGTATTTCATTTGCTAGGTTAAGATTTTTAAATGTATTAATGATTTGCATGTGAATTACAAGTTTCCATCAAAGAAATGCCTTATATCTTGTGAACAGTTGGTAAGGTATGTACTGATGAAGATGTGCTTTTGTGCCTGTAGGGGTGGACCTGTGTGGGCGCACTGTCATGGTTGTGGTGGGCAGGAACATTCCCGTGACACTGATAGACATGGAGAAGGTAGGGCACCGTGCTCCAAGCCTGTGGGTACAGATGGTTTTTTTTAAATCTATATTTTTTATATATTTTTGTATCTATACCATCCTGCATCTATCTATCTATCTATCTATCTATCTATATATCTATCTATATATCTATATCTATATCTATATATATATGTATATATATATATGTATATATATATATGTATATGTATATATATGTATATGTATATATATATATATGTATATATATATATATATATATGTATATATATATATGTATATGTATATATATATGTGTATGTCAAAATGAACGGGTTAACGCGGATTAATCCATCATCATGATTAATCTGATTAAAATTTTTAAAGCAATTAACCCATCTGCAGTTCGGAATGACTCAAAATCCCTGAAATGTCTCTGTCAACCCATTTCGGGCAGTTTTGGTGCCTTCCATTTGCCCTCGGAACTCATATTCCGAGTCAGATTCTGAGTTTTGAAGCCGGAAGTGACGACATGCGCGCTCCCGTTTCTTGGAGATCTGAGAAATATCTCAGAGCAGCACAGAGGATCCCGAGTTCAAAATCAAAGATGACTGCGCCCTTTATCAACAGAAGAGAAAGTTGTAGTTTTATACTGTTTAAGCACTACTTCTCATTTGTGGCTCATTAAATCGGTCGCACACACTATACCGTCCAACTTATCTGTGGATCTTTTGTATGGAGTTTTATACGTAAAGCACCACACGTAATGTGTTATCAACTGATATTGCTAACAATGGCAATTAACCGGGCTAGAATTGGATTTTATGATTAGTCGGATTATTTGTCGGATTTACGGTAGTTTGGGCTAATTGTAAGTGAAAGAAGATAAAGACCATTTAAGCTGAGGTACCTTAAATCTGATAAGTTGTCGGGCTAAGCAAAATATCTTGCTTTTTGATATGGGTCCATGGTATTGCACTTCTGTGGCAGATGGAATGCATCCGACTCGTGTTCAAGTAAGCATAAACAGTAAACATGTTAAGTGCATATATATTCCCTTTTTTCTTGAATCTGCTTGCTCATGCAAAATGAAATGCAATTAATATAGATTAAAAATGAATGACATTTAATCGTGATTAATCGAAATTAATCCACAGCAACCCTGTGATTAATCTGATTAAACATTTTAATCATTTGACATCACTAATATATATATATACATATACATATA